AGGAGGAGGGTTGTGTAACATGTGAACACTTGGAACACACCTTCTCAAGGTGTGAATAGCAACAGCAATTTAAGTCCCTGCGGGATAAGTCAGGCTGATGGAGTGACCAGCCTAGTGTTAGATGTTTACTAATATAATTTCAAAATAAATGAAAATATATAGCACCACAACATTCTGGGTGTTTTATAGAAAATAGGGTGAAAGATCTCTGACTCAAGTTATTATTGTCTAAATTAGCTTCTCCCAATAGGAGCCCTTTAGGTGTTTTACAACAACTCCCAGCATTCTAAGTCTGGGATATAAAGGCATCAGGATGGGGAAAGCTGATTTAAATGTTGACAATGATAATAGCAGCAAATACTCCATGATAGAACATAGAAAGATGGAGAAAAGCTGCAGAGATGCTACCAGTCAGAAGACATTATGCAGCCATTCTATCATTTCCCTATGGATTTTCCACAGTAAAAAGTGGGGTGGGAACAACAATGGGAAAAAATTAAGAAAAGGATTACAATTGAGAGATAACTTCTCTCCATCTCTTCAAGGAAATGAGGCAAATAAATACTTTTTCCAACCTGGAAACAAGAGGGACTGGAGGCTGCAACCTCTGTTTGCAAAGCCTGGATTTTGCCATATAAGAACATGACTAAACGGAATGTTCCTTTTGGACTCAGAAAAGAGGTTCACGATTTTATTACCCGAGGACAGCAGGGAGAGCTGAAAACCCAGCTTCAATGAAACTAAATTATTTTATTTGAAGTGGGTGGGATTTGTATCCTGCTTAAAAGAGCATTACCATCTTGCATTCTTGACCACTTCAAAAATACCAGGAAAAAGCAGGTAGATAGAATCCAAGATCTCAAATGCGGCTTCTTTCAGCAGTGTTTTTTTTTTATATAATGCCAGTCTATACTTAGAAACACTGGGAATGTTTTTAAACCTATTATGTTTTGAACAAGCAGTACACATTCCAGCAGAAAATGATATCAAATGGCAAAATGGTTGCTAGAATGCATGCACGAGAGCAATGTTCTCATGGCTGATCAAATACAAACCTGTAAATTTAGCATCCAGAAAGAAGGCTACCCATGGTGTTTTGTAAAGTGGGAAGCTAATGGTTGGAGGGGCTGCACCACACTTTTTTTGCTACAATTCCTGTCCTCAAAGCTCCCTCCTTCCCCACAATAGTGTTTTAAGAAAATATTTAATATTTGGTGCGGGGTAAAATGGAGGAAATTACTGGATCCTTTCCCCCATTTTAATATAGCCCAATTCCAGGAGAAGACAGGGCTTTTCTGGCACTTTTAAGACAATGAGGGAATTTTCAGTTTTGATGAAATTAAACTCTTTCATTTGTTATGAAAAATGAGGAAAGCTACATTAACTAAGCTACTTTTTCCTTTTAAATATTTAGTTTAAATACAATGCTTCTCTATTTAAAAATATACAAAATAGGTATAGAAGTGATTACCTAGAAACACCAAAAGGACAGTACCAGCAGGGAAAACTGCCTGAGAATCAGTCTAAAATATTGTGGTATGAAGACGGGTTAAAGCTGTTGTGAAAACCTGTGACCAGCAGTGTTAAAGATGCTTGACACCTTTGTCAGAAAGCATTCAAAGGCAAATGAAAAACATGAAAATCAGAATATAAAACTAGTTGCAGAAGTTATGGTTAAAGAACAGAGGATGCAAACAGCAGAGCAAAACAGCATAAATGCGTTTACTCATGAAGGGAGACAACTTCTGGCTGGTGGGGCAACATTCCTTGCAAGAGACTGCCGTGACAGAAAAACATGTGTGCATTGTTGTGTCATGAACAGGACTTAATGCCAAATTTCAGCTTTTAAAAAATTCTTTTGTTGGCTGTAGTAATAGTCTTAATACAAGCCGTTTGGCAAGAGTTCAATCCCTTTGCCCTCAGGGACCACCTCACAAAATCAGCATTGTCTATTTTTGCCCAAGACCACCCTATTAGGCCATGATTCAAAATATATTGGTTGGAATCCCATTGGTATTCACATAAACTTTGCATAACTTGCTCCAGACTAATTGAGGAGGTGTGGGGGACAATCTTAGGCACATGATGAAGATATATGCTACCTCAGACCTGAGGAAAATGTACTATAACCAGTCTGTTAAAACTCTTTGTGGAAAAATGTTTGTGAAAGTTAGGCACTGCAAAGATTGTTGAGGGAACTCTAACTTAATTTTGTGAAGCAAAGGTTGTTCTTTGTTCTGTTGTGATTTTGAAACTTCCTTAGTATTTACACATTTTTAAAAGGCTCCAGCTTATAACAGTAGGCTTTTTTGGCCTTTATATATTGTAATAGACTTGTTATATCAGGCAGCCAGCCACACATAGCTTAATATGAGTCTCAGAAAGTTAGGTAAATGAAAGGCTAAACCTGTGCTTCAACACTTGATACCAACAGATGTGGATTGCAGAAATTTTCCTACCATTTACCACGGTGTAGTATTTTGGACCTATGGCAAGGAAGTTAACTTTCATCACTGAAAATCCCTGCGGAGATTATGCATCACAGAAATTACATTTCTTATTTAGGCCTCACATGTGTGTGATTATTTGACTGTTGGGATAGGACTGGTTCCATTAACCCCAGTCAACTTTTTCAAAAAGAAAATCTAAGTACTGTACTACTAGATCAGAAGTGGAACAAGAAAACCTGACAAATGAGTGACCCCCCCAAAAAAACTACATTTGAATTAGAATGGGACTGACATTTACCACAGTTGTGTCAAATGAGTGACCCCCCCCCCAAAAAAAACATTTGAATTTGAATGGGACTGACATTTACCACAGTTGTGTTAAAGAACAACTTGAACACTTTAAAAATCAGTAGTTCTTTAACCTCACTTCAAGATTCCAGTGTGAAATCTGGGCTCCTGTGAGATAGTGAGGAAAATCTGATTTTTACATTTTGTTCTCAAGCATCACTAAAGAAACACGAACACTTATGCCACCTAGATATATTTTCCTTTCTCCCATTTTTCTTTCAACGTTTGATAGTTTCAGCTCCCATTGAATCTACAAAATTAATATTTCCATCCTTAAAATCAATCAGATTTCAAATGCCATCTTCAGTAATATTCTGCTTAATGAAAAAATACAGCTTCTACTTTTCTTAACATCATCTTTTCCAGTGAATCTTGTCTTCTCATGACATCCGAAAGTACTGTAGCTTCACTTCAATCCTTTTACCTTCCAGTGAGAGTTCAGGCTTGAATTCATCAGCACCTTCTTATTTATCTTTCCAGAGGTGCATGACAGCTATAAAACTTCCCTCCAACACATTTTGATTTACACATTTTTCTTCCCTATCTGCTTTCTTCACTGCCCAGCTTACACATTACTGTAGCTTCACTTCAATCCTTTTACCTTCCAGTGAGAGTTCAGGCTTGAATTCATCAGCACCTTCTATTTATCTTTCCAGAGGTGCATGGCAGCTATAAAACTTCCCTCCAACACATTTTGATTTACTCATTTTTCTTCCCTGTCTGCTTTCTTCACTGCCCAGCTTACACATATGTATGCAGTAATCAGGAATACCACAGCATAAGTGACCTTGGCCTTTGATCTCAGTGAGACATCCTTATCTTTCAGGATTTATTCTGATTCCTTCATAGCTTCCTTTCTGAGTCTCAAATCTTCTTTTGATTTCTTGAGTGCAGTATCTATCTTCATTTTTCTTCCCTGTCTGCTTTCTTCACTGCCCAGCTTACACATATGTATGCAGTAATCAGGAATACCACAGCATAAGTGACCTTGGCCTTTGATCTCAGTGAGACATCCTTATCTTTCAGGATTTATTCTGATTCCTTCATAGCTTCCTTTCTGAGTCTCAAATCTTCTTTTGATTTCTTGAGTGCAGTATCTATCTGGGCGGATGACTAAACCAAGCTATAAAAACTTTTTAACTACTTTGATTTCTTCCTTATCACCACTGATGAATGATAATTACATGCTGTCAAGTCTATCTTGGCAGTGATCCTTTTCAGGGTTTTCTAGCTATAGAAGGCTCAGAAGTGAATTACTGCTCCCTTCTCCTGAATGCATGCAGCTTGGTCAAGGCCACATAGGCTGGCTTTCCCTCCTGGGAGGCACCGTGAGGAACCAATCTCTCAACCTCTGACTCTGCAGTCAGTATCCAACACACTGAGGTATCCATCTGGCTGTATCATCATTTAAGTTATATAATTCTTCTGTATTCATTGTTTTTAAGATATGCAGATGACACTGTATTACTTGCTGAAAAGATGAGTTGAAAAGACTAGTGAGGCAAGTTAAGGAAAAAAATGCAGGATTACAGTTGAATATAAAGAATGGAGATTATACAGAACAATCACTCAGCTAAATTCAAGATTTGTACTTCACAGAGGGCTGTCAAGAGCTAAGATCACCAACTCAGGAGTACATCATGTGCCTGAGAATCAGCCTTCCTTCTCTGCTTCTCTGATGTCTGTGACGACTGTGCTCTTGTTTAAGACTCTTTCAAGAGAATGCTCCAGGGTAGACATGGCATATTTTCCCAATTGTGCATTAACTATTTCCCCTACCTGATCTTTTCGTATCTGCTATACTGGAAAACAAAGGAAGTCACAACAAGGTTACAAAAAGAGTTTGTATTTGACTGAAAACAAGATTGCTTTGACATTGTTGCAACCACTGGACATTGCATTGTACACAATATAACATTTATTTAAAAGGGAGGCAGAAGTTTAAGGTAGTGAGTTCTCAACTGATGATCACATTTCACCCTTACTGATGGAAAGGAAGTTGTTTGCCTGAAATCCCCTCTACTTAAAAGCAGCACTCCAGAAGTGGAAAAATGTATTTCTGAACAAGACACACAAAAAAGTGAGAAAACACTAATCACAATCAGGATGGATAAAAATCTATGATTTTTTTAAAAAATCTAATTGATTTAAATCACAATTGAAATATAAAATGATTTAAAACATATCCATCCTGGTCACAATTTCTTTTAAAAAATTAAGCTTATAATAGCCTGGAAAACCCACAACAACGAATTAGAGCTTATATTTTTAAAACTACCAGGACCTATGTATTAACTGGATCTGTCTCTGTAGCAGTTCTGAACTAATTAACTGCCACAAATGAACGGGTTTCTAACATCCAGGAAGGCAAACTCTTGTTTTTAACTGAGATCCGAGGATATCCGTTAGCACCCACAGTAGCACAACACACAGTACATTATCGCTTATCTGGAGGGACAACGCTGTTCAGTTTTTTTCTAATTTTTGCCTGAAGTATGTTGAGATCTTCCTCATGGGCACAGAAGTAGCCGAGATCTGTGGTTGGGTAAAAAGGAGTATAAAGTCAGACACAATTATGAGCAGTTCTGGGCATTTCTCTTTAAAGATTCTGTTCTTTCCACTTTGTAGCGAATGGAACACCACCAGGTATAAAAAAAGGAAATATCAGTTGAAAGCTGGGAGCCCCAAGGGACGCAGAAGCACAATAAAGCTGTAGAAAGGGGGGGACCTATGGGGATGGGTCCATAAAGAGCTGAATACGGAATAAACATGTTCATTGGGCACATTATATTGTCTGTTGGAGTTGAGTGAAAAACTTGGAAGGAATATAGGATAGAATGAAAAGGGTATCTCAAAAGATAATGGCTAGCTCGCCCTCTGTATGACAGTGCTCCACCCAGCAATTGTTGCAGGATTAGATCTTAAAACCAAATCTCCCAATTTGAAAAGGCACTTGTTCAGCAGGCTGAGGCAAAGAAGCAGTCTCTAAACCAACAAAATCAGGGAGCCGGACAGGGGACAGATTGCATTTGCCTTCAGTGTGGAAAGGATTGTCACTCCCATATTGACCTTCTCAGCCACACTAGACGCTGTTCCAAGTCCTCTATTCAGAGCATGTTACCATAGTCTCTTGAGACTGAAGGATGCCTATCTAATAATCTTAAACACTCAGTTTAGGGAAGAACTGCTTTACAGTAGGTACAGTACACTGAGTTTCCACTCCCTATGGTACACCCATGTTTTAACTTAGAATGGCTGCAATCAACAAGTGTAAATCATCATCCTTATGCTTTCCAAGTCATAATTCCCCTGAAGTCTGTCCTCCTTCACTGCATTATCTCCTAAAGAATCTTATCTGAGATTTCCCTAATCCGCCACCCTCTAAGAATCCTGAACGTCCCTCCACCTCGGAGAAAAGGAATACATAAAAACAGTGATGCAGGAGATGGAGATGAGGGGTGTTGTTCTCCACTGGATCTGGAAGGTGCCTGGTTTGCTGGAGATGAGGATCCAGTGCTCCACTGGATCTGGAAGGTGCCTGGTTTGCTTTATTCTTTGAAGGATAGTCCTGAGGTTCTCCTCATCAGCTAAGGAATTGTCTTCCCTGTATTGCTGAGATCTGTGTTCTGAAAACAACCTTCTTGTCTTTGAAACACAATCAGAGAACTGGGGTGGTGGTGGTGGTGGGGAAGGGAGCAAGTTCCTATTGAATTAGCCAAGATGCAGTAGATAAATAAATATTTATTTTATCAGAGCTTCAAATAGTTAGCTTTTCTGAAATCAGCATAGCCAAAGATCATGTAGCTAGGGGATTCTAGACATTATATATATATGAAGCAGTGGGCTTTAGTTTTGGCTTTAACAGTGGTCTTCAAAATTTGGGGAATACACTGCCCATAGGAGTATGTCCCACCTTCCTAACATTTCCTAATGAAATGTAGGAACACTGTTATAAAAATTGTTTCCATTTCCACAGCTCAGCTTAGCTCCAAGGCCTTGTATCTCCTGATACAGCTCTCAGCCTGCTGTGCTGGGGAAGGAAAGGAAACTCAGATAACAATGGATGATTTGCTTCCCTGTGTTGCTTCCTGTCCTCAACCACAAACTCATCCAGGACATGAAAGGCGATGGAAGGGAAGGCAGAAAACACATGAAAAATGCATTAGCCACTCTGAATTGTGGAACATGGCAGGACAAAGCTTCAAAGAGGCCGCCCTGCTTAACGTACTCATGCCATGGTCAAGAGACTCAGGCCCTCCCAGCAATGATCTTTGCCAACCTCATCCTTTTTGCACAAGAGTGGGAAGCTTCAGCCCTCCAGCTAGTTTGGATTTCAGTCTTCCCCAGCCTCACCCAACTCAGTTTATGACAAAGGATGATGTGAACTGCAGTCCAAAACATCTGGATGGTCCAAAGTTCCCCACCTCTGTTTGGATTTTTCTCTCCAAGCAGGGCCCTATTATCTATTTCACTTTGTTGCCTTATCTTCTGCCCTCAGTATAGACCAGGGATGGGTAAGCTGGGGGCTTCAAGCTGTCACTGGATGAATTTTAACCAAATGCAGTCAAAGGTGCATCAGTAGCGCCATCTTGAAAAATCTAACAGTATTACTTATTTGCAAATATTTAGGAACCACTTATATCTGAATACAGTGGTGCCTCGCTTAGCGAGTGCACCGTATAGCGAAAAACATATGGTAAAGGAGGTAAAGGGCATCAGAGTACCCTCATGTTTTTAATTTTAAAAATCTAGCAGAATTGTACCCCCAGGTGTTATTCTCCCACATTTTGCTTTTTTTTGGGGGGGGGAGGAATTGAAACTAGACTCTCCCCCCCCCAAAGAAAACAAGATGTACTCTGCAAACAGAGGACACAGGGGGCATGAAAATAGCTCTCAAAGCTTGTTTGGCTTGGGTTAGAGTGCTGGACTGAGACTTAGGAGATTCAGGGATCTAAACCTCATTGAGTTATGAAACCCATGGAGTGGCATTGGGCTAGTTCTTGGTGGTTATGACCATAATGGAGAAGAGGAAAGCCTACTATGCCAACTTGAGCTCAATGGGAAAAAAACAGGATATAAACGTAAAATAATAATAATAGTGATACAGCATTTATGCCATCTATAAAGGAGATGGCAATGCTGAAGGATACCAACAAACAACAACATTACTTACAGATCCTGGTGATGCTGCTCCTGTCCTGCCTTCCTGTTGCCTTATGCTTGAATCCTGCAACAACCGAGTGCTGCTGCCTGACCCATTTGGGCTTTGAGACTTGTTAGTCTGTAGTTTATTCACCAAAAGAGACAGCCAGTTTCTTTTGGGAGGAAAACCATTCTCCTTGTTGGCTATTTTGACACTGGAGGACTTGAAAGGACATGGAAGGTTTAGGAAGTCTGTAGAAGAAACAGAGGCAGCCGGCTCTTTCAGGCTTTGAATGGCTTGTGCTACTCCATACACGGTCTGGCAGACTTCCTCAAGAGACTCTGAGCCTCCTTCGAACGAATCTAGCCGGGATTTTTTACACACTGGGTGAAGTGCAGCCACACAGTTGCAACTTCTCAGACAGTTCACATTTCCTTCCTTGCTGGATTCTAGCCTCCTCTTGGCTCGCACTTCAGACCTCACGTGTGGTGATTTGGAGGCAGAAGCTGTTTCAGAAATTGTTGCTGTTATTGTGTGCGAAGAAGGCACCTTCATTCCCTTCGCAGGACATGGGCTCGGAGTCTTGGTAACCCACCGTTTAATGGACACTGCCGAGGCTGATGCTGCTGGTCTGGACGAAACGCCCGAAGGTGTTGCCTTCTGCTGCCCCGCCGGAATGTCAGGTGTGGACATGGGGATCTTGGCTGAAGAGCACGTGGGTGTATTGGTAGGAAGAGGAAGATCTCCCGCGTAAGCTGGAGCACAAGCAGCCGGTTGTGGTGAAGAAACGGGGGGGCTGCCCACTGGGAGAACTTTAGCAGGAGTGCTGGGTCTTCTTTTTACAAATCCTAAGAAAGAAGCAAAATGCACAGGCCAAATGAGGACAACGTATTGCAAGGATGAATAAAGCAAAATCATACTCAAAACGTGTTAAGTGTCCCATACCAGGGCTGGCCCAAAACACTTTGATCCCACAGGCAAAGGACAAGATGGAGAGCTGCCCAACCACTCCTGTTTGGGTACATGTAGAAAACTTAATCAGGCTGGCAATTAAATGCTGATGACAAGAGCATGTATTATTATCATTTATTTGTACCCTGCTAAGAGCATCATGGAGGCTTAGGAAAACATAGTTACATACAGCTATATTCTGGGAGGGCTGTAGCTCAGTTACACAGCACATGTCTTGCACACAGGACCCAGTCTGCACTCTTAGCATCCCTAGATAAGGCTTGAAAAACCCTTCCCTCAGTCTCTGGTGAGCTGCTGCCAGTTAGTGTTTCTACTACTGGACCAGACCAAGAGTCTGATAAAGCAGCTTCCAACGTTCTATCCTAAAGTCATTCTGCATCCTTCACCATCAGCCACCTAAGACACTGGCTTCACTGTGCCTAATGGTAGGACTGGCCTTGTGTCACACTGTATATGGTTCTTGCCGCAACTTGTGTGCAATTATGCTTAGGACAGTAGGCAAAATTGTGGAAGACTGAATCAGATTAGAAAGCAGTGCAATGGGTGACTTCTAGAAGAATGTTTGTATCCTGGCAGAGATTGGTTTCTGGAGGGGAAAAAAAGATAAGAGTGGAAATAGCTGAAATCAGAAACTCTGAAGAATGTCAGGGAGCTACATACAGTAGAGAGGCTCTGCCCAACGAACTCCTTCAGCATCCAGGCACGGGACAGACAGGCTTTGCCTCCATATTCTCAAGCATCAGAGACTATAAATTTGCTTTTTTCCAAAACAAGAAAAAAAATGAGGCCCTGAAGGCCACTTCAGCAAAACCCACACAGATATATCACTTTGAGAAGAGAAGGTTATACTGTGCATCACAAAGAGATGAGTATTTCCTGCAAAACCACAATATCATATTTTTGTTCTGCTGAAGAGGGTGGGAACCCCCTGGATGTAAAATTTTGTCGAGACAGCACTGAAACAGTACTTGCCCAAGGCAACAATGAATCACAGTGCAAATAACTACTGTACTTGTGTGCACGTGTGTTCAAAGAGCCAAGGTCAGCAGGAAGCCTGCTTAAGGTTTGCAATGCTCATGCACTTCCTTTCCAATTTGCAAGTTATTTCAAGGCACAGCAAACAACGAGACCTGACATTTTACCTAAGGAAAGCACCAGCTTGATTTTTTGAAATCTAGCACACATACCATGTGCATTTTTAAGGGGGTGCCCCTTCTATACTTATGGTAATACGAAGGCTTATTTATGTGTTTGTGTGTGTGTGTGTTTGTGTATCCAAAGAGAATAAAGACATGTGCACATGTATATGCAATACACAAAGCATGAAAGAGAACTAGTATATCCTTTTCTATTGTTCTGCAAGTTTCCTGTATGTCAATTCTTTGTTCACAAAACTATCTCTTCCTGTCATCTTTCTAGCTAGAGCAGCCATTTAGAGATAGTACTGACTACTATATGAATTTATCTCAGCCCCAACGCATGGGGGGAAAACTGTATAACAAACTCAATCCAAGACTTACCGTATTTTTTGCTCCATAAGACACACTTCCCCCCCAAAATGTGGGTGGAAAAGTCCGTGCGTCTTATGGAGCAAAGGCAGCTGGCCCCGTGGAGGGGAGCGTCGCAAGGGTCCGGGTGAGC